TGTATTATTTCTTTTTTTATTATTTATTTAATTATTTTTTAATCAATTTAATTATTTTTAGATTTTTTTTTTTTTTTTTACTTTTTAATCACCTTTTTATTTTTTTATTTCATTATTTCATATTATTTTTTAAAATTTTTTTATTGCATTTTTTTTATCAATTTAATTTTTTTTCCACCTAACTTTATTGCTATCACACAGAAGAAAACAATCCCCTGTGTGATAGCAATTGGAGGTGACAGGTTCTCCTTATTGATCCTGTTACCACCAATACAGGAGAACTCCTGTGAAAGGTGAGAGAGGAAGAGCACAGCTCTCCCCTCTAACTGCACAGAGTGGCAGGGTTAGTTTTAACCCTGCCGCTCACTGCAGTGAGGAGACGGACTCGGCGGTGGAGCCCGGAGGACGGAACCAGAGGAGAGAGGTAAGTGCAGGGGAGAGGGCTGCAGACTGTTTACATGTGATCTCGGCGACATCGCCGAGTTCACATGTAAACGAACAATCAGCTGCCTCACTCTACATTTAGTCCTGCTTGTGCAAAGCAGGACTAAATGTAGAGAGGGCAACTTACTGCCCGACAAGGACACCGGACAAGGACAACTTCCCCACAAGGTCACCGCTGCCGCCCCTCTGCGCCCTGCCTCCCCGAGGCCGGGCCTCGGTGGCCTTGTGGGAAATCCGGGCCTGAGTACAGGCACATGACTGTGTTGACCATTGAGAATCTCTTCTTAGCCTTCTTTCTTCTGGGACACCGTCCCAGAGAAGATATTCTCATTGGTCAGCATGGTCATATGGCCATGCTGATCAATGACCACTCCCTATTGCAAGCATTTTGTTGCTTTAAAGCAGTCAAGTATAGCTTTCACGTGTCGGTATAATTGTACTGGCTGGTGTGGGTAGCAGACAATGGTCATCCTTGCATCTACATGGGGCAGGAAGAGTGTTGTGAGTAAGTTTACCTTTTTAATTTTAGTGTAAAGGTGAACTAACACTTTCACATAACTCCAGAAAATCAATGTACTTTAAAGCTGTAGCTCGCGGTATACTGAGCTTAGGGTAACGGGAGGACGCTAGTTTGTGTCCTCCCGTTACCCTAAGGAGAACTATGGGGAAAAACACTGAAGTTAAGTGAAGGGCTTATGCAACCTGAGGTCAATTTGTGGTTATACTCCAAATGTGAAGTAATCTGTATCAATCAACAAGACAATATATGTAAGCAATATGTAGCACCCCCCTGACCCCCAGAGGCTGAGGTGGACCCCACAAAGGGTAGGGAGGGCTGACATTTCACTCTCGGGGGTAGATCCAGTGAAGGGGGTGCAATCAACAAATTGGGTGCCAGTCACTTTAAGGAGTTTTATGATGCTTTAGGACAGCAAAACTGGGAGAGAGGATATAGGGCTTCAGACATCCATGGCAAAAATACACAGAGTACAGACTCACCAATCCCTTCAGGCTTCCAAAATGCAGAGAATACTTCCGTAGAACAGGAACTGACACTGTGCAGTAGAACAGTAGCTGAATAGGGATCAGCATGAGGTCTTCCCTGGGAGAGACACCAGACTTGTTCCTGAGGCTCATGCTATCTCCTGACACCTCCAACAGTCACAAGCTCCTCTGGTTCTAACAGCTCCTCTGGTTCTCCTGCCCACATAGTTCTAGACCCAACCTGGGTCCACATGTGGCCTCCTCCAGGTTTGAGGCCTAGTCAACTTCCCCAACCCTGTACATGCCACCCCCCAGGCCAAGCCCTGAGCACATGGCAATCCCTGAGTACATATGCACTCACATATGCACTCACGCAGCATGCAGGGTCATGAAACTCCTAGTGATTGGCTGGTGAAGCATAGACACTCCTGATGTTCCCCTAAACGCTGCCCCACTCTGTAGCAGGGTCACATCCCATTCACAGGAAGGTGCAATCAACAGCAGAACATCTAGAATTAACCAGAAGATGCCAGAATACAAATTAGCCAGCCTGATTACCGTGCTAGCAACACTACATTTTGGTAGCCACTCCATGTAAGTTGGTAGGGGCTACAAGTATAATCTAGAAATGTTGTTAGAATTTGGTCAGTGATTGGCTGCTATGAAATACACCCTAAATTATTTTTAAACAGTCATTAATCATTTTTTTCTCATATATGTACAACTAAATTGTAAATTAAGTACAAGTGTTACAACTGTATATTTAGCAAGGGATGCATCTGAGGACTTCTAAATTTTCAAACCATTACCCTCTGTAGCTGTAATTATTTGGCATAAAGTTCTCTTTGGAACATAGCATAATTGAAGAAAAAATGGATGGACCAAGTGCAAATCACTAAACAACTGAGTTATTTTGTGTTTGACAAATGATTCTTCTTGTGCAGCACTGAATGGGTTAAGAAGTGCTGCTTATGTCAGCCAGCAGCCTGATGTAAAGTAGCACAAGCTAAGAGATTCTTCTAACAAAAGCAGTGCTCGGTCGATAAGTTACACCGACAGCTGAAATGAAAAGCATCTGTGTTTCTCTTTGCTCTGTTCCCAATCTCAGCTCATTGCATGAGAATCTGACCTACATGAATTAGAACACTGTTGATGTTGCAAGGAAAATAGAACTAAGAGCAGCTCAAGGATGAGTGCAAAATTATCTTATTCACTGCGACCCAGCTACAAAAATATAATGAAAGCAAAATGAGTTGGCTTTAACTTCTAATAGTCTAGAAACCAATAGCAAAACGAGAATAATAAAGAACACTATGCATTGGATTATCGGATCAACCAGGTAAATCTGAACACATTCAACATACACATGTATTGTAATTTACATGTATGATGCAGGTTTTAGTAAAAAAGGGATGCATTGGATATAGTATTTGAGTGGTCCCCAGTCAAGGGCTTCATACAGTATTTCCTATAACACATGTTTTAACGCATTATGCATTATGCTCATCTGATAACCATAAAGTCATTAGGCGGTATTTAATCTATATTGTTTTATTGTTCTGGCTCCCATTATCAAGAAAAAGTTTTATTGATGACTAACCTTGTATACATTTAGAAAGATTCGGTAATATGTTACAAAGCCAAAGTACACCTGTCAATTGTAATATGCAAACAGCCAAAATAATTATATTAATAGTGCACTTCAGAGGATCACCAAGTTGTATCCCATTTTCCAAAGTAAATGCCAATTCCCTGCCAAACCAATATAATGCAAGTAGATGGGGTTGCTAGGGTTGCCACCTTTCCTAGGAAAAGTATCTGCTACAGGGGCTTGGCCCCTTGTAAGGTCTAGTCTTAGAGGATGTGGTCTGGATGATGCACGTAAAGTCACAGTGAGACCTATGGCAGGCTAGTGATCCTGTAGCTGGCAAATATTCGCCTAATAGTACACTTACCTGCTTCTAAGGCATTGCTTAAGTAAGCAATGCCTTAGAAGCAGGTAAGTGTACTATTAGGCGAATATTTGTAAGTACTTACTGGTCAAAACACCAGGTGAGTGACTCCTTGCTGGCCAGCTCAGCAAGGAAGAGACTCCATAGAAGTAGGTGAGTCTTTTATTTACCCTCCTAGAGATCCAAGGAAGTACGCTAGTGTGACATAAGCTAAGAAAACTACGCTTGTTAACTGAGTTTAGGTCTTAAATTTCCTTGTCCACTGTCCTCTTTTCAACATACAGTAAGGTCAGCAGAGAGGCAAGATACCCCTTGCTATGTTTTTAAATCACAAAACAAAATGTGTGTTGTACAAAAATCACATGCCAAGATGCTAAGAATCCGAAGTAAAGATCAATAAAATGCTCATACTTAAGTAAAAAGGTATTCATTGGTGTTTTAGGGGTGATGATTGCACACATTTTGAGCACATCTGTACTCCAAAAAAAAAGTCCATAATTTCCCCTCCACTGTATAGTAGGCACCTAGCAATGCCTATACTTACTGTTCTGCTCCTGTCTGCTGCTGTAATTGGCATTGGTGCCATGGTAAAAGTATTTCTGTGCATGGGCATGTTCCAGTTTCCCTTCGTAATGCCACATTTAATGCCTGAGCAGCCTATTGAAAAAGCCTGTGCACCATCACATGGGGAGTGTGGTTGTGCATATCGGAGTGCAAGAAAGCTACTTAACACCTAATCCAACTTTGGTTAACGTGCCAACATTTTTCCACTGTCCCATCAGTGTCTTACATTTACAGGATCACCAACAATGAGCACTTGGCAATGAGACCACCTGAGTGAGGCAAGCATCAAAGTGCCTAAAAAGGGGGGATGAGCTGAACACCAGTCTTCCAATGACTTCAGTTATGTCTCATGGCAATAGCTGTGGCGACCAAACAGTCGCTAAAACAACACAGGTAGTTTACTTGCCTGTATCCTCTGTCTTTGAGAAAATTTAGGTTTCTATACATAAGCCATATGAGGGAGCCCAGTATATGACCATCTTAAAGTAAGAAACCTATGTAAAACAGCCATCAGAATAAAAGGAACACTAGAGAAAATAATGTAAAAATATTGCCAAAAAGCTTTGAATATGAAACAAAGGAGAAAACAATGACACCTTAAGGAAAGGTACTTCTCTGGCACTCCTCCTTAAAGTGATATTAATGTCTAAAGGTTTTCAAGCTATTTGAAATGCTGAATAAATCAATGGATGGTGTTTCTTGATGTTTAGAAATGTTAGCTGGTCCTGATATCCTGTTTTAGGTCGGCTCCTTTCTCTTGCAGGGCCCTATGGAGCCACCCTTGGGTGTGCTAGTAAGCTGTGTGTGTCTCTACAAACACACAGGCACAGCAAGGCAAGGCAATCCACTCCCCTACTTCCCACAACTCCTCCCTTCTCCAAGCTAGTAGATAGAGATCTGCTGGAGACTGTTCTGTCCCTTGTGATCTTGTACTGAACAGAAATTGCCAAAACTGATATTTTCCAATAGAAAATAAAAAAAAGATCTTACAATTTTATAAACAGGCCACAAAATGACACTGTTCACTTACTTTAATTAATGCTTTTCATTCCACAGGATGTCCGGACGGGAAGAAGTTGGAGTTTATCACAAGTTTGTTGGATGCTCTCACTACAGATATGGTCCAGGCCATCAACTCCGCTGCCCCAGCAGCAGGCGGCAGGTCAGTCATCAAAAACAACCTGGGCATGGACCTCACAGAAGCACATAAATATAAAACACTCAAATGCTATCATATCTCTTGAACCGAAACTAACAATCACTTTTATTAACAAGTCAGCATAGTTTGTGTTATCTGAGTCACTTAGTCTGTGTGGTATGGGGTTCTAGGAAAATCTTTAAAGCAGTGTTTTGTGGTCACATTTATGAAGAGACTTAACATATAGGACTGCCAAGAATTTTACTTTTATAGATTTTAGGGCAAACCAAGAAGCAGGACAGTGTAAGTGTGTCTACAGCTATCCCCTTAGGCTGCAACCACACAGACTGTATCTTGCTGAGAAAACCTGCATTCCTATACTGAACCATTAAAAAAAACTCTGCTAAGAGCTGTTCATATCCACACAAACTATTGTAGCTATCTGTAACATAACCCCATGTAACTTTTCCGGTGAGAAAAGACAAAAATTAAAGTTAATCTCTCATGTCCACCAAAGTGATTGTGCAAACTTTAATGATAAAGTGAAAACCCCTGTAGAATTTAAAACTACTTTCAGATCGATTTATATGTGCCTGGGAGGATACTGGATCCTAGTCCCAGGTTGCATGCATGGGCCTTTTGACTCTAAATCAAGTTTAAGCTCCACCTATGCTAAATCTACCCATGTCATTTAACTGTCTAATGATAAAATATCTGTAGTCTTGCATTTGACAACTACCACCATATGGTTCTGTAGAACAGTTGTGGTACAAACATATAATGGCACCATCCCAGCATCCATATGTATGCCCTAGGCAAATATTCCTGACCTAATTTCTTGGGAGCAGTAGAAATCATCTGGAAAAATTCAACAGTTCTTCTCTAAGTCCAGATGACTATTTGGGGTGTCTACACAGGTCAGAAGTAGACCATTGAAACCTAAAGTAGCAGTTATTGACCCCATCAAGCATTTTCTATATTTTCTGGATGCCCCCATGACTGTACAAGTCCCAAATATGCATGTCACATCAGATCACCTCCTCATGTATCACTTCCCCCTCCACCCTCCCTTTTAGATTGTAAGCCCTCACGGGCAGGGTCCTCCTTACCATCATGTCTTGAATTGTATTCTGATTGTAATGTCTTCCTTATATTGTAAAGTGATGCGCACACTGTTGGCGCTATATAAATCCTGTATATTAATATTAATAATCTGAATCAGTTACATAAGCTCAGCTCCTTCAGTGATGTGGATTGTGAAAAAGGGCCTTTTAGTCAGTGAAATGTAGAGGAGGCAGTGGGTATAAACACAAACAAAATTATTTTGAAAGGAGTTTCGTTTCAAATAAAGGCAATGAAGATGTGGAGAAGTGGTTTCCCCTTGTAAAGGTATCGCCCTTACATTTTCTACACATTACCAGAAATCCAATCATTTACACCTTAGATTAGTGTTGCAGTATTGTAAGCCAAGTTAGGACCATCTGCATCCTTAAAAACTATTTTGTAATTCTATCCTCCAAGATCACCTTAAATAAGTAGTGATATACTGAAAAAACTATCATAAGGGTTTAAAGATATTGCACATAACACTCCCTTAGAGTAATTTATTAAGGTGTTATCATAAGGGCTCATTTACACGGGCACAGAGATCCATGCACTGTAAAACTCTGTGTCCAGGAGCCACAAGTGTTGTGTACAGCCTACCTGCAATGGGGCTTTACACTAACAAGCACTTCTCCAATCATATATTTGCTTACAGGTATGGATGTATGTCCCTGGATGCAGACTGTCTGCATCCAGGGGCGTACATCTGAACCTGTACCGATGTACACACTCAGAGCAGCATTTATCAGCATACAGCCTGGCACTGATTTGTACAGGCGAGCTGTATGCAACACCTGTGGCTCCCAGGCGCAGAGATCCAGGCGTTTTTTACGGTACTCGAACTTCTGGGAATTTTGGTACATGAGCATGACATGGCTCTAATACACATGAAGTAATTCTAGGAATATCTTACTTTAGATTCTCCGAACCAGATCCCAACCACACACTGGAAGAGCGTGTGGTTCTCTGGTACTTCAATCAGCTCGACAGCAATGGCAGTGAAGACATCAATAAGAAGGAGATGAAACCTTTCAAGAGATATGTAAAGAAGAAAGCCAAACCGAAGAAATGTGCGAGGAAGTTCACCGACTACTGTGATCTAAATAAGGACAAATCCATCTCACTCACAGAGTTAAAAGGATGTCTAGGTGTTCGTAAGGAGCCAGGTAGGCAAATAAACATTCTCATTCCCTCTGATTTTTTTATGTTTTATTTCAAATATGGACCTGACGTTGTAACAAAGATGTTATCATCTACAACAGTGTTCCCCAACCCCTGGTCCAAATGGTACCGGGCCGCACAGTCTCAGTGCGGTCCGGTCATGCAATATATGGCAGTGCACGGTCCCGGTGTTCGAACACCGGGGCCCCGCACTGCCGACGGGCTTCACAGTGAGGGGGCGGGTCCTAATAAAAAGGTTGGGGAGCACTGATCTACAACACCAAAGTCTCAGTTACCTTCAAGGCCAATTTTATGCATTTTCAACAATCGCCATGGTTTAGGAGCATAGCCCACTCACATTTTATGTTGCTGGTTGTCAGTAACATATTCGCTTGTGTAATAAAGTGTTCCAGACTCCCATCCTGCCGGCCAGTGCAATCCAGCTGGGTCCTCGTTTTTGGTGGAGTACCATGTGCTTACAGTTCACCCACTCTGGGTCTGTATACCCAGAATCAAACTACTAACAAAGTAGTGCGTTTCTGGACATGGATACAGAGGTTGATGGCCATTTCAAAATAACATCATGTTGTCACAATGATGGTGTTGATGATGATAGAATTGGGGAACTGAAAGAAGATGAAGATAAAGATGGGGAACTGAAAGAAGATAAGGTCATCTTCTTTCAGTTCCCCAATTTTATCATCAACACCATAATTGTGACTTTGTAACGCGCCAAGGCTATCTGTCAGGATCTCAACTGCAACAGGGTGCGCACTCCATTAGTGGAACACCCTGGGTAGTTACTTCCTTGTTTAAATACCCATGTGGATGAGTGGGCGGAGAACAGCACAGCGTCGCGGCAATTGCGTTCCAGGCTGGAGCGCAAGGTGGAAGTGGCGTCATCGTATCGGAGGCGCCAAGACCTTACAGTACCCCCCTCCCAAGGGAACCCCTCCAGGGATTCCCAGAAGGGGACGGGCGGTCGGGAAACCTTTGGTGGAAGACTCTCTGGAGTCGGGGAGCATGTACTTCCTCTTCATCTTCCCATGAGTCATCCTGAGGACCGTATCCCTTCCATCGGATGAAGTACTGAATTCTTCCTCTTCTTTTCCTGGAGTCAAGGATCTCTTCGACTTCAAATTCCTCCTCCCCTTGGACAACTACAGGGGGCGAAGGTTGAGGCACCCTCCCCGGGAACGGGTTAGGCTGGAACGGTTTCAAGAGGGACACATGGAAGGTGGGATGTACTTGCAATCGAGGAGGTAAAGCGAGCTTCATGGTGTTGGGGTTGATGACCTTTTCTATAGCGAAGGGAGGGCTTGTTCTTCTGCGCAGGTCGTAGTAGAACTTCTGTCTCTCTTTTGCTTTTTGCAGGTTGTCCTTTAGTGCTGCCAGGGTGTTCTGCAGGGTGGTTACGTAATCATCTGTTGCAGGAACATTGGTAGGGACAACGACAGTAGGGAAAGGTCTGGGGTGGAATAGTTAGCATAGAATGGGCTGTATAACGTAGAGGAATTTGTAGCATTATTGTAGGCAAACTCTGCAAGGGGGAGCAGATTTTCCCAGTCATCTTGGCAATATGAGCAGTGACACCTTAAATACTGTTCCAGACACTGATTCATTTGTTTGAGGGTGGTAGGCGCTAGACATTCTATGATCGATTTGTAGTCTGTTACAGAGAGCTTTCCAGAATTTGGAAATAAATTGGGAGCCCCTGTCCGATACAATTTGGTTAGGGACTCCGTGTAGCCTTACGATGTTGGAGATGAAGGCATCAGCGGTCTCTCTTGAGGAAGGTAATTTGTTTAGGGCAATGAAGTGAGCCATTTTGGTGAGCATATCTACAACAACCATAATGGTGTTATTACCTTGGGAAGGGGGCAATTCCACAATGAAATCAAGGGATACCCATTCCCAAGGTCTAGAGGTGATTGGGAGATTCATAAGAAGGCCGTAAGGCTGTCTCCTATCGGATTTGCAGGAGGCGCAAATCTCGCAAGTTGAAACGTATTCCTCAATGGTTTTGGACATGTTTGGCCACCAGAAGTTCCTACGTATCAGATCCGCGGTTTTGGTGATACCAGGGTGACCCGCCATAGGTGTGTCATGGTAAAGCTTCATTACCTGAGTGGTGAGGGAAGGTGGTACGTATAACTTGGTATCCTTTTAGTAGAGACCTCTGTTATCCACGTGAAGTCCAGGGGGCGTGTTGGCCTGATCAGCTCCAAGGGCATCCCGTAGTTGGTCTTCTACGCCAACAGTGGCTAGGATGATCTTCTCAGGGGGTATGACCCATGATGGATTTGCTACGGTGGTACGGGATTCCGCCAGACGTGAGAGGGCGTCGGCTTTGCCATTTTTAGACCCTGGTCGGTAGGTGACTTGAAAATCGAACCGATCAAAGAAAAAGCTCCACCGTACTTGACGGGCGGATAATGTCTTGCTGATTTTGAGGTATTGGAGATTGCGGTGATCTGTATAAATGGTGATGGGATGCGATGAACCCTCTAGTAGGTGTCTCCAATTTTCTAGGGCACACTTAATGGCGAGAAGCTCCTTCTCCCCAATGGGGTAATTTACCTCGGCGGAGTTCAGGGTGCGAGAGTAGAACCCCACGGGGTGTAGAGGTGTAGAGAAAGAGCTACGCTGGGATAGAACCACTCCTATTGTGGTTTGAGACGCATCTACCTCCAGTACGTAGTGATGATTCGGATTTGGGAAGACGAGTATTGGGGCGGATATGAATCTGTCCTTCAGTAGCTCGAATGCCGATTGGGCCTCTTCGGACCAGGTAAATTTTGTTTTGGAACTGGTCAGCCGAGTCAGTGGTCTGGTGGTGGCAGAGAAGTCCTTGATGAATTTCCTATAGAAATTAGAGAATCCCAGGAATCTCTGCAGAGCTTTTCTTGAGTCCGGAATTGGCCATTTTTGGATGCAGGCAATTTTCGACTGATCCATCTGGATTCCAGTCGGGGAGATAACATACCCCAGGAAAGGGAGCGAGGTCATCTCAAATACGCATTTGTTTAGTTTTGCATATAAGCAGTGGGCTCTTAGTCTTGCGAGCACCCACCGAACATGTTTCCTGTGGTCTTGTAGGTTATCGGAATACACCAGTATGTCGTCTAGATAAACAATGACGCAAACGTCCAGCAAGTCCCTGAAGATATCGTTTATAAAGTTTTGAAAGGTTGCGGGTGCATTGCACAATCCAAAGGGCATAACTGTGTATTCAAAAAGCCCATAGCGGGTGCGGAAAGCAGTCTTCCACTCATCGCCCTTTCTGATCCGGATCATATTGTAAGCTCCACGTAGGTCTAATTTGGTGTTGGTAGTAGAGGTCCGGAGTCTTTCTATGAGTTCGGAAATGAGAGGTAACGGATACCGATTTTTTATGGTGACTTTGTTTAATGCTCTATAGTCAATGATGGGGCGTAAAGTGGAGTCCTTATTCCTGACGAAGAACATCCCCGCTGCCGCCAGGGAGGTTGAGGCTTGGATAAATCCCTTTTTTAGGTTCTCTTCTAGGTATTGTTTGAGGTGAACCAATTCTGGTTGTGCCAATGGGTAAATCCTCCCCGTGGGTATTTCACTGCCCGGGAGTAGGTCTATGGGGCAGTCATAAGACCTATGGGGGGGCAGGGATTCCGCCATCTTAGCACTGAACACGTCGGAGAATTCCAGATAATGTATTGGTACTTGGTTCACGTCTGCGTGTATGAGAGGTTTAATTGGGAAACAGGTCTCCATGCAATATCTGGAACTTAGCCCGATCTTCCCCTGATCCCATAGGAATGTTGGTTGGTGTAGCTGCAGCCACAGTAATCCTAGAATTACGGGGAACAAGGGAGAAGATATGATATCAAACGATAGGAATTCAATATGGTTGTTTGCGCACGCGACCCGCAGGGGTTGTGTTTGTTTGGTGTTAGGAGTAGAGGTGGTACCGTCAATGAAACTCACAGACATCGGTAATTGCTTTTCATTGTAAGGAATTTTATTTCGCTCAATCAGCTGCATATCAATAAAATTCCCACAGGCACCTGTATCCACCATAGCATCAACGGTGACTCGGTTTTGGTCCCACTGTAGGATGAGAGAGGTGTAGACGTAACCATGGGTTCTGTCATGGACATTGGCTAATCTACCAAGAGTCGGTCTCTTACCTTCTGATTTCTTTCTTATGGCGGGACATCCCTCAACTGTATGGTCGGAGGATGCACAGTATAGGCAGAGGTTGAGGTTACGTCTTCTGGACTTCTCCCTCTCGGTAAGGGGACCTTGAATGGCTCCAATCTCCATTTTCTCCTCATCCGGGGCAGGGCTAGATTGTTTCAGGAAAGGAATGAACCCCGAGACTTTCTCCGTTCCCTTAGGCGCCTGTCTATGGTGGTGGCTCTTTGCATTAAGGAATCAAGAGTGGGTGGCAACTCCCCGCGTGCTATCTCGTCCTTCAGGGCATCAGAAAGACCCAGACGGAACTGGTTCCTGAGGGAGAGGTCATTCCACTCGGTCTCCCGGGCCCAGCGAGTGTATTCCGCTATGAAGTCCTCCACGGGTCTCCGGCCTTGCTTCAGGCTACGGATAGCGGTCTCAGCTGTTAGTTGTTTACTATGATCCTCATACAAGAGGGCCATAGTTTCCAGGAACTGAGGTAAAGAGTCCAGAACCGGATCTGCCTTTTCCAAATAGGTGTTCGCCCATGCTCGAGGCTCCCCCCTGAGATATGAAATCATTGTGAGCACTTTTACCCTATCGGTCGGGTATGTTCTTGGGCGTAGTTCGAACATCAATTTGCATGCATTCAGAAATTCCCGAAACTGTTTTCGATCCCCAGAAAAGGGTTCGGGGGGGTTCACCTTTGGTTCTGGTCCTTCCCTGGGAGTACTCTGAGCTTGTGTGACCAGCCCGCGCAGGGTCTGGTTCTCTAGTCGGAGAGTCTGAACGTCTTCCGTGAGGGTCTCTACCCTCTGTAGTAGGGTGACCATATGTCCCGCAATCTCCGCTGGATCCATGGAGGTTCCACTAATCTGTAACGCGCCAAGGCTATCTGTCAGGATCTCAACTGCGGAGTCTGTTGACATTAATGAAGTACAACTTCCTCAATTGGGGATTGGTGGTTTAGTGGCTATTCAGGCTGAACCCCAGGCGTCACTCTCAATCTTAGGCGGAGAGTTTGGGGTTACTAGCATCATACGCCACAAAGGAGAAATAATAATAACTAACTAAAGGTTGGAGCCTGCTCCTGAGATGAGTGGCAGGAGTAGGGTTAATCTTGATCCAGATTTGTATGTTAATTGATGAGCTTGTTGGGGTGTAACAAGTAGCTCCAGGCTATTAACATGAACAGTATAGGCATGAACTCAGAGGCAACACAACCTGATGATGCTACAGTCCTTAACCTTCACAGCACTTTAGATAGTATCCACACAGGCAGTCCAGAGTGACATAGAAATCCCCATAGCATGGGGTTACTTGCGGTTTAGAAGCTGCAGTTCCGGTGTCCAGCAATGGGGGAGCCGTGGGGTTCAATTGGGGAGTCCTCCTGGTCCCAGCAGTCCTCGGTAAGTGCCTCAGTTGGTATGGAAGCAACAGGGTGCGCACTCCATTAGTGGAACACCCTGGGTAGTTACTTCCTTGTTTAAATACCCATGTGGATGAGTGGGCGGAGAACAGCACAGCGTCGCGGCAATTGCGTTCCAGGCTGGAGCGCAAGCCGGAAGTGGCGTCATCGTATCGGAGGCGCCGCGTTCCAGGGTGGAACGCGAACCCCCTACAGCACGAACCGCCATATAACCATTATGGGTGGTGTTGACATTTAAAGTTGTCAATAAAGTCCTTGTAAATACATACCGTACATGAGTCTAACAACATGTTGTCCTAACTCTAATCTGCATTTCTTTAATGACTCTAATCTTGATTTAATTGTTGGTCAATTTCCAAACAGTGGAGGATATAAACAGCACAGACATGCTTTACATCTATACACTATAGCTTCTCTGCCTGGCTATCTTCTGTCAGCTTTATACAATGATGTATTCACGGCACAATATATTTGTTCACAATTCATAAAGCAAACATCATTGTAATATGAGCATGTCCGATTCAAGAATAAAAACATCAGTGTGGAGTGTGGTTTAGCTTAATAGCATATAATCTGTGGTTCTCACCTTAACAGTTCCTAGCAGGTGATCAGCTGGTAAAGGTCTCCTTCCATACATGTCCAAAGTTCACAAAAACATGAATGATATAGTTGTGGAGACAGAATGGTATTTGGTAAGGGCCTTCACCTTATATGGGCAGCAATGACGAAGGCTAGACAGGATATTTCATGGACACAGCAAGGGTGAGAATTTTAGACCTTGTTTACTTACATGCCCCACATGAAAGCTTGTGGGAAATTTCTGCATGGTTTGCTCAACAATATTACCATTTTTCAGCTAATTAGTGGCCCTGCACAGTGGAGGTCATCATTATCATCGGTCCATGTTACTGTATGTCCATGGTCTGAAAGTCCGAGGTGCGGGCATGGGTGAGAGGAAGAGTCTGCAGGAGCCAGAGTATTGCACCAGCCATCTACTAATCAAGGTTGCAAAGCTTTACTGGCTCTATTTTAAAAAAATATATGCACATTTTTTTCTTTTATGAAGAATTGTGCATTTATTATTTCTTTTAAAAGAGGTGGCATTTCCCTTTAACAGTAAACTGAGCTATTAGAATAAAAACAAATTTTAAATGGCACAATGTAGTGCACTTGTGGTTAAAACCCTTAGGGCAGCTCTGTGCAACACATTTATTTTCAGTAATAAAATTAATTAAATAATAAACATAATGTTCAGAAAAGAAGCGCAGACTGTGAAAATTGGTTCAGGGGATAAAGAGGTCCGGCTGCGGATTGCTGTGGCAAGGATCTGTGGATCATCTGCCCCTATACGCAGGTAATCCTCTGTTCAAGGAACCCCCACCAACCTCTGAACAAACCCTAGGATTAAGGGTATCAAGGGTACAGAACCCTTGTTAAGAAAGGCTACGCTAAGGATTAACAGTGCAATCCGCAGTTGTTTCCTGGAAATGCTCCATGGGGGCCCAGGAAAAAAAGTAAAAGGGCGTGTGTTTCCAATTTGACTGAGGGCAGCCTTTTTACATACCCTGTGGGATCCTACCTCTTATGCCTCTTAAAGACTCCATCACAAATATTTTGTCTCCAAAGTTTCTAGGCTTTTCCCTGTAGCAGTGTCAGCAAAGACTAGTAGCTGAATGGTTAGCAATCTTTCCTTACCACTCTGGAGTCCTGGGTTCTCTTCCTGTACACATTTTTAAAATAAATACAGGAAAAAGACGGGGTTTGGATTCTGCATCTTAGAAACAAGCAATGAGATCTCTTTATCATGACCATGTCAGGTGAGTGGGTTCTTTAAGACATATTTCCAGATCTGTTATTACGGCTTTGAATGTACTGGCTGCTTTGAAGCACTGTGTATGTGTTGTGTAATAGGTTATATTTTGCTCAAACATATATTAGTGTGCTTTGGAAGAACAAAGGGATTTTTATTGCATATTCTTTTCATTATGTAGACAAACTATACAGTGGAGAAACAAGAAACTGCTGTTACTTGTTCATAATTCAATCATTTTTACACTGGCTCTAACCAGTGCTGCCGTCTGCTGTAGTTAACAGTACTGGATCTTGGCATGCAATCATTACAATTGTATCAGTAATAGAAAACAGAGCTAATCTATCTCTAACATATAAAAGCACAAAATATTAAGTATAGTCTGGTGAGATTTACATTATGTCCTCTTAATAACAGCTGTTCTGAAATCAGCATTACCACATGTACATATATAGATGAAAAAGCATATAATTATTACTTGCTCTGTAACAACCATAACACTAGAAGTAGATTAGATCAATTACCAAACCGTTTTCTGATGCATTTTCGGAAAACGTAATTTAAGGTTTGTGGTTTGGTTGCATGCAAACAAACTTTTTTCAATTGGTGTTATGGCGCCATCTAGTGTTAGTTTTAGTAATTGAACAGTGACTCTCCAACGTGATACAGACTTATGATACCAGTAGGGTAAACATCTAAATTATGCAGCCATCAGCAAGCTCTGGTAGCTGCAGATATAAATACACAACAAATAAAAGGGTAATGCATAAAAAATGTAAAACATAAAAATTTGCACGTTCAGACCCAGATTTTCGGCTGACAGTCCAGTCTTTAAACACGTTAACAACAGCTGCTCTTGAACATTTAACGAATGCAGCTGTTTTGCTCCATGGCTCAGAGCGCCAACAATCATCCCACGTTCAAAGGCTGTTAAATCGCGTTGTTTACTCGTATCTTCAGAAACAAATCACTTCTACTGTCGTGGTAAACAATCTGCTTCCCTATTTATAATGATCTGGCCCTCTAGGAACTTCAGCGCGAAATTATAGCTAATTATAGCTAATTTGCCTACAAACGTCAGGTGGTCATAATAATCTGGCCACTCAGTGTATATAGCTCCAATAATTTGTTCAGGAATTTGCCAAATAAAGGGAGACGGTACAGTTATAATACAGTCAAGACAAGAGGGTTAGGAGGGCCTTATGCACTAAAGCTTAGAATCTAAAAGGGAGGGGCAAATGATACAAAAGGTGGTAACTGGTGGGGATGAGATGGCATAAGATTCACTGAATAGATATGTTTTTAGGGATCACCTAAACGGCAGACAGAGAAGGAGATATCTGGACAGATTGAGGTAGGGAGTTTCAGAGGATGGAAAAAGACACTGGAGAAGTCCTGGAGGTGAGAATGGTGATATGGGGGCTAGAGAGCAGTCTTGGGACGAGTGAAGAGGGAGGTTTAGGTGATATTTTGAGACAAGGTTGGTGATGTAGCTCAAGGTATATTGGATAGCTTTGTATTTTGTTAGTATTTTACATGTTATTTGTTGAACGATTGTAAACCAGTGGAGGGATAGTAAAATAATAAATATAAGCGGTGCTAGACCCTAAAATTAATTTTAAAAAGAGGATCAGCAATGGTGTTTAACATTATGCTCGCAGGACAGATACAATATCTGTATTTAAAACTCCCACACTGGAGCTGGACTACTGTTCAGCTCCAGTGTGGGAGTTTTAAAAGGGAAACAATAAGGATTTTGGATTTTTTATCGTTTTTTTTTAGGTTGATAAGTTTGTAAAAAAAAAGATATGACCATAGTTTCAAATCTATAAACAGCCTTTGTTTTACAAATACACATTTAGTACATGGTAAAGGATTTCTAGAGCATTATGAGTTAACTAAAAGACAACTTAACTCACGCTTTGTCTGAGACCAATCCACATGTTGGTTGTGAACCTGCTGGATATAACTATGCATATTCTTGACATGTTATAGGTTGCGTATGCGCAGATCATCTGAATCATTTAACATTTTACACTTTTACTTTTAGGTACTAATGCTGGAAGTTTCCCTCCTGGAAGGAGACCTGGATCGAATCCTTTCAGTGAGTAGGCATTACAGTAATGGCAAACAATGTAATCAAATAGAATTCAGAAGCACTGGTGTGCCTGTGAAAAATACAAATACATTTGTTCTTGGTGCAGAGAGTCTTATGCTGGTAGCCTTTGGCATGAGGCTGCCCTAAATTTCACTAACACAGAATCCCCTACATTAAAACCTAAGGCTTCACACACAGGGGCAATTAGAGACAACATGTAACAAGAATCAGCATTTTCCTGTGCTAGATTTGCCAATACATGTGAACAGCCGAAGGAACTTGTCAAGCTATCATTGATTTTTACTGGCTGTGCCGTAGCTGTCCACAACCACCTGTGATCCCAGCCACATGAATACTCTTCTTCTTGCCACATGTTAGCCCTAATAGCCTGTGTGAATGAGACCTAACACTTAGCTCTTCCTTACCTGAACACTTCACGCTTCTAAAATGAGTGTTTAATAATGAATCCCCCCTTAACACATAAATGATATGTAAATCCTTACAATTAACTTCTCTTATTTGATCCATTTGGTCCGTTTAATATACAGTTAATAGTGTTTTGTTATACCTGTTCGTTTAGGGCAAAAAAAATGGTTGCCCCTGCCAGAAAATCGGCGCTGTCCTATGCACTCTTCAGTGTTATATCGGTGTTCTCTGGAAGTGTTAGGCCTACAAAACAGCTCCTTTTCTCGATAACATAGTGGGGAGGTGTTTTAAAGCCCTAACCCTTTTTCTGTCTTAGGGGGACAACAATGCTCCCCTAGAGATACAGTACAGTAAGTGAACATTGTCAACAGTACAACAGATACAGTACAGTAAGTGAACTTTGTGTAACCAGCAAGATGAATAGGTGAGAATAGAGGGGAAAAAAAGTTTGAAAAAAGAAAAGTAATGCAACTATCCCATCTAATGATTGGTAGGTTGCAATAGAATACAATATTCTTAGGTTTAGTTATATACTTAATATTATTATTATTTATATATATTTATTTAATATGTTTTCTTGACACACAAAGTGTACCCTTTACATTTTGCCTTAACCCTAGCAGTTAGTACATGAAACTACTGTGATGTGTATTGACCTACAGTAATTAGTGGACTAAACTCTAACAGTGTTATTCGCTAAAGGGTGAAGAGTTTGGAGAAGGCAGGAGAAGTGAACAATCTAGGACAAAATAGCTGATTTGGAAAAATTCTCCAATTCAGCTCACTTTCCACTTCAGCTATGTTGTCCTAGATTGTTAATTTATCCTGCCTTCTCCAAACTCTTCACCCTTTAGTGAATAACCCTGTAAGTTACCAGTGTGGCTGCATTCTAACCAGTCAGCGAAAGTCAATTTTTTCCAGCATTTGTGTTTGCAGACACTCACAATTAGTGCTCTTCAATGCCACCAGTGCCAGATTGCAGAGCGTCACATCCCTGAACTTCCAGATCAGAGAGAGTTCACTATAGCGTCAGGTGATCTCACCTCTCCTTTGTCTCTGTGCACATGTGCCTCCTGCATGGGGACTTAATGTCCCAAAATTACTGGCGCCCATTCCATAGTTCGCATTCATGTAGGACTGCAACAATGCAGTCGATTTTATCGATGATAATCGATAATGAGAATCTTTGTCAACGATTCTTATTATCGATTAGTTGGTTCTGCTTCTCTCCTCCCCACTTGGAGCCCATGTTTCATGGGCTCTGTGTCCCCTCTGTGCTCCCAGCGGGGATCAGAGGGGACACAGACCCCTGCAGCCAGTGCGCAGCAGTGAGGAGAGCTCCAAACCTCAATAGAAAATAATGCCCTACATGCATGTCTACCCTATCTACATCAGGGGGCCTCAAACATCCTCACCCCCAGACCTTACTGCACATGCATGCCAAAACCTTTGTAGTCCTGGCCAGGATTACACATGCAGGGTGGCTCCAGGGAGACATTGCATGGAAGCGAAGCCACCTTATAGGCAGCAGCACCATGGGCATAGACTTTGTGTGAAAATTGCGCACGTAGGGTGCAGAGATAAAGGGGACAGCAACAATAGCAGGGCATGATGTATGGTGCTACATATTCAATATGTTAATGAGGGTTTAAGTAGCATCAGGCACATAGGTTGACTTTCGTATATTTGCATCATTTTCCAAATAACACCAGCAGTTGACTGATTATATCTATTGTCTAGAGTTTCTCTTATATATCTCCTTCCCTAAGACACATGTTGGTAAATTAACAGCGGTATGTAATGTTTTGTTGCAGTAGGTCGTCTAGTGTAGAAGGCCATACACATAATGATGACTGAAGAACAGGAAAGGGACTCATCGCATCGGGATCCAACACAGATGCAGCTGATGGACCTCTTAACGTTTGCACTTTTAAGTGGACTTTATACATAACATTTTTTATTCCATTGCCTAATATGGGAAACACAAGAAAATTCTGCCCTTTTCCCTTTAAGATTTTTTTTTATTAAAAAGAATCTGCTACTGACAAATTAGTAAATGAATTCATTGTGACTCTGGATAAGAAGAGAGTTTTTTTGTATATAAATGTATATGTAAATTGTACAGTGCCATTTGTACAGGTCTTCTTAACACTTTTGTCTTTTATAAGATTCTAGTGGGCACCTCGCCCTTCTTTGCTAGTTTTTATCTTGTGCCTATAGCATTCATGTTTATTTTGCTTGTATTTTGTAAATTAAAAATAAGAATTTGAAAAAAATATGCCATGTTTTATTTTAACAATGTACATCATAGAGGTACACACCTGTCTGTGTGCCTGCAGCAAAATAAAACTGAGGAACGAAGGAATGGCAATATTGTCAATGGCAGCCAATCAGACCTGTCATTTTTTCACTGTAGACTAGGAAATAAACATTTATAATTGAATTAGTTGCAATGGGCAATGCACATAATTTACTAGGGATGTTCAGATACCAAGTACCATACTCGGTACAAGTACAAGTACACATACAGATACTTTTCCTGCTCCAAGATTAGACTGGGGAAAAATTAAAAAGCTAGGAGGCAGCTGTCATTTTTAAGGATCATACAGAGCTCCTGGGAGTTGTGCATCCCTGTTTTAATGTATGATTTTTTTTTATAAATATATATTTGGGATGCACCAATACCATTTTTACATGATACAAGTACTGATACATTTTTGTTTATTGTCATCTGACAGTTTTTCTAAAACAATACAGACTAATGATTTCAGGACAGTGGTGGAGCGCCAGAGCTAGGTCCCAGCTGCAACTTCTGCAACCCTGGTAGTTCTCATAAAAATGCCAAGTATCAGCACTGGTATCTGAACATCCCTATAATTTACCTTTTAGTTATTTTAAGAGCCAATCCAGACCTATATATTAAAGCATGTTATACTGCTCCTTTGCGCAATGCACAGTAATGCATGGCATGCCTTGCCATTCAGTTAAGCCGAGGCCTGGGGGTAGGGACGGTGCTAATCTATTTTGCACCCTAGGCAAGACCAGCTACTTGTTATATATAATTTTTATTTTCTTAATTTTTTTTACACTTTTATTTTTATTTTTTTACACATTTATTTTTTGTCAATTATATCAAGCAGTCACTTTCATTTTTGGTTATTGTTAGGCTGCTCCAAACTTAGGAACGGCTAATAATAACCTTAGGGACTGATTCTGATAGCATGTCAGAATCAGATCTCACTAAGGCTGGGTTCACACCAGAGCGTATTTTTTTAGCACGTTTTTCCGTTCAGTGAAATGCGCGTTTCACTGGCAGTATGAGATACAGGGATACTTTGTAACATTCTGCCTAAAATGTATCACACAACTTTGAAAACATTCCAGCTGTCAAGACAAATAGCAGAGAGGTGACTCACTCTGCTACCTCTCTGCTATATTTAGCTGTCAAATACCGGATCGCTATTCAGCAATCCGGTATTTGTATGTAACGGCTTCATTCTTTCATTAATGAAAGAAAGAAGCTTTTACAAAAGCTTAACTATTTCATTAATGAGGCCTTCATTAATGAATTGTAACCACTGAGAATCAGCAGTTACCAGCATTACAGAGCCGCAAATAACTGGTCACGTACAGTGTACGTGGCCAGTCATTTGGGCACTTTGTGGCAGAACGTACAGTGTATGTCTCCCGTCACGAAGGGGTTAAACAATGACAATTGGGCGGAGCCGGCCGTGACGTCGCGACCGGCTCCGCCCAGTTGTTATTGATTGGCTGGGACCTGCTAGAAGACTCTAGCAGGTCCCGGCCAATAGGAAACAGTTGGGTGGAGCTAGCTGTCACTGCTAGCTCCGCACAATTGGGTTTTTTTGTGTGTTTTTTTAATTTTCTTTTTTTAAAGAAATCTTTATGTATTCTTTTAGATTTATTATTTATTCACATAAAAAAAAATTCTACTTTTTTTCCCCAACTTTTTTCACTGATTTTCTATTCTGCTCGGTACCACGGTGGTACCGAGCAGAATGCCGCTCGGCGCCATTCGGCTATTCACTCACTGCCGTTCGGCCCCTATGTGAATAGGCCGAACGACAGTGAGTAGCCTGCCAGAGGTTCGGAGCGTGTTTTTCGAACGTGTTCTTCACTGCAGCTCAGTCGAACATGCTGAGCATGTTCGGCGGAACCGAAGCAAGCCGATGTACGGCTAATTTCAGCCAATGTACGGCTGAAATTAGCCGTACTAAGCTAAAGTGAATAGCTGAACAGCGTTCGGCTCTGTCCACTTTGGCTCGGTTATTCACTCGGCTGCCATCGGCAGCTTTGTGAATAACCCTTTAAATATTTTCACACAACTTTAACCCAAGATTTAAATTTTTTCAATTGAATCCAATAGAGGTATGTGTGAATCTTGAATGAAAATTGTGTGAATCTTTTGTGAAAACAATTATACATAGACATCTTATATTAATGTTGCTGCAAAATACATTGTTCCCTGCTGCAAATCTCTTGAGAGAGTTTTTCATGTTTATTTTACTTATCTCTCTTCCACTTGTAAACCCTAAAAGCCCATTCACAACGGCCAGGCACGTTGCAGTGTGCTTAACGCATGTGCGTTACGTCATGTGTTATCTTGCATTTTAATGTGCACTGCAGTAAGGCAGCATAATCATTTGAAGCACAACAAAGAACTATGAGTATTCAAATAAGATGCCAACATGGCTCACAGTAGGCACTATCTAGCTTTGGTGAATAGCAAAGCCATGTACGAGGTATCGTTACTCCTGCTTTTGTTGAGGTGGTATAATAGGTTTTAGAAAAACACCGTCCTCCTTGTTTTGGGTCTCTTGGAAATTCCATATCAGGTTTACAGGAACCATGTGACAAAATATAGATCGCTTTGTTTGAGCATCCGTTATGTCTAAAGGGAAATGG